CCTAGAATTTGGGATTTGAGGGGTCATTTGTGGTTGGATTTTGGTGCTTTTGATATGAATGAAATCGAGGAGTGATAAGGAGTCTATTCATGTAATTTTTATCGGATTCCGAGATATGGGCTCGGGGGTCGGGTTTGGCCAATTTCGGGATTTGTGTTGTAATTTGATTTCTTTCGAGTGAGCTTTGTTCCCTTAGCACATTTTGATGATTTTGCACTAATTTTGGTTAGATTTGAAGCATTCGGAGGCCGATTCAAGAGGCAAGGGCATCGTGGGATAGAGTTTGGACTGGATAGAGGTGAGTAATGTTTGTAAATGTTGTCCTGAGGGTATGAAGCCCCGGATTTCATATCGTTGTGCTATATTGAGGTGACACACACGCTAGATGATGAGCGCGGAGTTGTACACTATTGGGGATTGTGACTTAGTCCGTCCCGAATGACTATTTTACTGCGTATTTGATTGATAACTGTTTGCTATCATCATGTTTTGGGCTGAAAGCCATATTTGGGCCTCGCGCCAACTGTTTTGAACCCTTAGGGGATTTTTACTACTATTCCTCACTGTTTTGACTTTATACTTGTACTTAGTCATGCTATATTGTACTATATTTATAAATCAACCATGTTTACTCTGTTTTGACATCTTAAATGATATTTTGAGTTGAGCATCATATTTTACTGTGCCCTAATGACTTTTAGAGATTTCTGACTGAGTAGGGCCGAGGGCCTGTGTTGGGAGGTTATTATGGGATCGGGCTGCATGCCGCAGTAGAGTTGTACTGATATATGATTATGAGGCCGAGGGCCTGAGTTGTTATGCCACGAGGTGGTTTGATATGAGGCCGAGAGCCTATTGATTATGACACGAGATGGCTTGATATTGCACTTGCGTCGTATGGGGCCCCTCCCGGAGTCTATACACCCCCAGTGAGCGCGGGTACCCAGTGAGATATATGATATAGCCCGAGGGGCTGATGTTGTTCCATGTTATTGCCTAATGGATGATTTTTGTTGATATTGTGCCCGAGAGGCTGATTTTATGTGTTTATCTTTTCTTACTGCTTTCATTCACCTGTTTAACTATTAAACGAGGTTTTACAAAGGTTTTTACTAAACTGAGGTGTTTTTTACGAGCTTTCACTGTTATTGCATTGTATTGATTTTATACTGCCTCTTTAAAGCATTTTCCTGTGTTTTACGTGCTTTCATATCTCTCAGCTGCTTTTACTTTATTACTGATAGTAGGCTATATAGTTGATATTTACACCTTAATATGACCATGCTTTGTTGTTGTTTTATTGGTAAATTGCCAACAAAATGCTCTAAATAGTGTTCTTTTGTTTCGCAGAGAATATTATATGTGAGGAAGCAACATGGAGTGTTTTGGAGGCGATAATGTGAAGAAAACACCCACTCGAGAAGTACCCAAGCACGAAGAAGAAGAAAATGTCCTGGGCAAGAAGTCCACAGCGACCGCGGTGGAACCACGGTGAACCATGACAGATTAAAAAAAAGTGAGGCAGAAAGGTCAACTCTCACTGCAGTCGACCGCGGTCTGCCACGACCGCGGTGCACTGTCCACGCTGCTGGAAGTTTGGGGACCAAAGTGTAATTTAGGGAAAACTTTTGTAAAACCCTTATAAGCTTTAGAAACTAGCCCAAGATTGTTTTTAAGCTTGTTTTAGACTACTTTTGGAGGAAGAACAAGTTTGAGAAGATCAACAAAACATTAGAGTTTTTTTTTCTATCTCCTTTTAATTCTTGTAATTTTACATTATGAACAATCTAGTAGTTTTCTCTTATTTTGTTATGAGTAGCTAAACAATTATCTAGGGCTGATGGAACCAATTGTTGGTTGAAGTTTTGACTCAATTTGTTATAATCGAGCCGGAATTATTATATGATTGTTCAACTATGTTTTGTATGGTGATTAATTGAATGGGACCTTGATTAATCGTGTCTAATTACGTCATATTGCTTGAGAAAGAATATTAGGTTAGACAGCTGTTGAACAACATCACTTTTGGATAATTGAAGAGATTCATCAATTGAACTTAAAAGTGGGTTTAGAGATAATAAAACTTTGGTGGGATAATTTAGAGTTGCACACATATTGTCACCTAGAGTAGTTCGAGAGAATGCTCTAGTAAATTATTATAGTTGATCGAGAGATAATTACAATAACCCATAACTCTTAATCCTCATAGAATATTACGGCGAGATTATAGTGAAAGAGTCAAGACCTAAACTAGCAATTGGGGAAATCACTGCCCTAGACCTTTTTACCATTGAATTATCTTTGCTTTAGCTTATTGTTGTTTTTAATAGTATTTGAAGTAGTTAAACAAAAAACCCAATCTTTATTGATCAAAAATCTTGCATCTAGAAATTGGTTGAGTTGATAATAACATTGTCAAAGAGTGTAATAGATAGGTTAGTTCCTTGAGGATTCGACTCCAGACTTCAAACCGGATTATATTTGTAGTGACCGCTTTGTCTTTTAGAAGACCTAGTTTGGCGCCGTTGCCGGGGAGCTAACTGTGTTATTTATTACAACTTAGAAGTAGTGTTAGAATTATTAGTTTAAATCAATTTTTGAAGGTGTTAAACAATCTTTTCATTGAAATTCTCACGTTTGAACTCTTGTGGAATTCAGGTGTATGCCTAGAAATTCTTCGAGGACTGGATAACTGATAGAAGGACTCTCAGACCCCGAGAAAACATTCAGGGCATTGAACCGTGCCAACAAGAGAATCCAACAATCACAACAACCACACCAGTTCGAATTTGACATGGGTGACGCAGAAACGTCAACGAAAATGTCGGGGACCCGCCAGCTATCCCAAATGTCAAAGTAGTGGCACCTCTTGTGCCAGAAGCTACACTTTATGATTGGGTACATCCCACAACTGACAACCTGGCTACTTCCATAGCTGTGCCAGCAATTTAAGCGGAGACCTTCCAAATAACCAATAATATGCTGCATTTTTTGTAGAATAAAGGATTGTTTTTCGGAGCACACATTGAAGACCCTCAGCAACACTTGAAAAATTTTCTGTCGATTTGTGTGACCCAAAGGCATCTGAATGTGACCCCGAAAGCTATCAAGCTGTTACTTTTCCCGTTCTCTATGATCGGGGAAGCTCAGACTTGGCTAAATTCGCTCCCTATCAATTCCATTATCACCTGGGAGGAATTAGTCAAGCAGTTCCTGAATAAGTTCTACCCGCCCAACAAGACTGCAAGACAGATTGATGAAATATTGCAGTACAAGCAGCAGCCGACTGAGACCTTGCAGGAAACTTGGGAAAGATTTAAAGGGATGCTAGTGAAGTGTTCTCACCATGACATTCCAGACCAGATGCTCGGCCAGAGGTTCTACATGGGGTTAGCTGACAATCTAAAAGCAAATGTGGGTGCTTCAGCTGGAGGTGCATTTTTGAGTAAGACATTTACCAAGTGCAAAGTCCTTCTTGACAAGATGTCACAGAATTCGGGGTGGATAACTAAAGGTACAACACTGGCACCCATAGTGCATTCAGTTCCTCTTGACCCAAATAATTCACATGCAGAGAACATGGCCACACTCATGACTCAAATGAGTATATTGACAAAGAAGATTGATGAGATGGGTACAAAACAAGTGCACATTGTTGATACAACAAATGGAGAACTGTGTACACCTTGTGTTAATCAGTCTTATGTGTGTTCATAGAGTGGAGAAGGTGAAATTCAAGGGGCAAAAGAAGATATGAATTATGTAAACAACTTTGGGGGTCAGAGACAAGGAGGACAGTAGTGGAGACCAGCACAAAATCAGCAATACAAACCAAACATGCCACAACCTGGGGTATGCAACCTCAAGGCCAAATGGTGCCAGTACCATATCAGAGACAACAGGGCTATCCACGGCAAAATCAGCAATAATTAACATATCAATCACCTCCTCAGCAGCAAGACAACAACATGGTGGAGATCAGGTGTATGCTTCAGCAACTCATTGGGAAAAATGGTAAAATGCAGGAAAAGTTGGCAGTTCATGATTCAGCTATAAAGAACATTGAATCTCAGTTGGGGCAGCTATCTATGGATTTAAACAACCGTCCCCAGGGAACATTTCCAGCGGACACAAATATTAACCCCAAGGAGCAAATCCCAAATCAACTGATGGCAGTAAGTCTCCAGAATGGGAGAGATTTAGACAAAGAGTAGGAAGTTGCACAAGCCAGCAAAGAGACTACGTCAGCCACTCAAATTCCACTAGAGGTAGATGAACCAATAGACCTTACTGAAGTGGTGGTTGAACAGGGTTAAGATGAAAATGGTAAGGCTAAGGTAAATGAACAAGCTGAAGAATAGGTGGTGCCTCTTGTGCCACAAAACCCCAACAAAGAGAAGCCAGCAAGCAGTGCACAAAGGGTGATACCGGCACCATTCCCTCAGAGACTGGTAAAACAAAAGAAGGAAGATCAATACAAGAAATTCATGGAGACGTTGCGTCAAATTCAGTTGAATATTCCTTTGATGGATGCCTTGAGGGAGATGCCAGGTTATGCGAAGATGATGAAGGACCTCATGTCACAGAAGTTTGATTTTCAGGACTTATCCACAGTGACTCTGACGCAGACCTGCAGCGCAGTAGTGACAAGATCGATGGCCCAAAAAATGTCCGACCCAAGTAGCTTCACTATTCCATGCACGATTGGGAGTTATGCATTTCCAAAGGCATTATATGATTTGGGAGCCAGCATAAATTTGATGCCTCTACTGTATACACCAAACTGGGCATTGGCAGAGCTAGACCGACTTTGATGCTGCTGCAGCTGGCTGACCGCACGGTTAAAAGGCCAACTGGGATTCTTGATGATGTGTTGGTGCAAGAGGGGAAGTTCGTGTTCCCTACAGAGTTTGTTATTCTGGACTGTCAGGTAGATGAGGAGATACCTACCATTTTAGGTAGGCCATTTTTGGCCAGTGGGAGAGCACTGATCGATTGTGAGACTGGGGAATTAAAAATGAGACTGAACGATGAAGAAGTCATATTTAATGTTCAGCAATCAATGATGAGACCCAGTGAATATGCTAATTGCTCCCTAGTGGAGGCAGTGGATGTGATCCTGCAAGAAGATGATGTGACCCTGACTACTAAAGATCCATTGGAGACATGCCTGAAAAATTTAGAAGAGATGGATGGTGAAGGGTTATCTGAGTGGGTCATGGCACTTGAAGGCCAAGGATTCTGGAAAAGGGAACCTCGGTTCGAGTCCCTTGACTTAGAAAAAAAAGCTACACCTACAGTAAAGCCATCAGTAGAGAAACCACCCAAGCTGGAGTTGAAACCACTCCCAGCTCACCTCAGGTACGTTTTCTTAGGCCTTGATTCAACTTTGCCTATCATTATATCATCCGATTTGCTAGATGTGCAGGTAGAACTGCTCTTACAGGTACTGCAAGAAAGTAAGACTGCCATTGGCTGGACCATGGTAGACATAAAGGGTATCAGCCCAGCCTTCTATATGCACAAGATTCTCTTGGAAGAAGGGCAAAAACCTTCCAGAGAACATCAACGAAGGCTAAACTCGAACATGAAAGAGGTAGTGAAGAAGGAAGTGATAAAATGGTTAGATGCGGGAATCATCTTCCCCATCTCTGATAGCAATTGGGTTAGCCCTATCCAATGTGTGCTGAAAAAGGGAGGAATGACTGTTGTGCAAAATGAGAACAATGAGTTGATCTCAACTCTTACAGTCACGGAATGGTGGATATGCATGGATTATCGAAAATTGAACACAACCACCCGGAAGGACCACCAAATATTGGACAGGCTGGTCGGGCGATCACACTTCTGTTTCTTGGATGGATATTTGGGGTACAATTAGATATAAATAGCCCCCAAAGATAGAGAGAAAACATCCTTCACTTGTCCGTATGGCATCTTCGCCTTTCGAATAATGCCTTTTGGGCTTTGCAATGCACCGGCGACATTTCAATGGTGCATGTTAGCCATTTTCACAGACATGGTAGAGGATATTATGGAGGTCTTTATGGATGATTTCTCCATGGTGGGAGATTCATTCGAGGACTGTCTTCACAACTTAAAAGGATTGCTCAAAAGATATGTGGAAATAAATTTAGTACTGAACTGGGAGAAGTGCCATTTTATGGTACAAGAAAGGATAGTCCTAGGGCATCGAGTGTCCAGTAAGGGAATTGAGGTTGACCATACTAAGGTTGACGTTATTGAAAAGCTACCACCACCTACTTCAGTCAAGGCGGTGAGAAGTTTCCTTGGGCACGCCGGGTTCTACAGGCGATTCATAAAAGATTTCTCCAAAATTGCTGACCCATTATGCAAACTCCTTGAAAATGACCACCCCTTTGTGTTTTCTAATGATTGCAGGTTGGCATTTAAGGAGTTGAAGAAGAGATTGGTGACCGCACCCATCATTGTTGCTCCCAACTGGGAGCAACTGTTTGAGCTCATGTGCGGCGCAAGTGACTATGCCATAGGAGCAGTCTTGGGGAAACGAAAGGATAAGCTGATGCACCCGATTTACTATGCAAGCAGAACGCTAAGCAGTGCACAACTCAATTACACCGTGACGGAAAAGGAGATGTTGGCTGTTGATTTTGCATTCGACAAATTCAGGTCATACTTGATTGGCTCAAAAGTTATTGTTTACACTAACCATGCAGCAATTAGGTACCTGATTGAAAAGAAGGAGTCAAAGCCATGATTGATTCACTGGGTTCTTCTGTTACAAGAATTCAATCTGGAGATACATGACAAAAAAGGGACAGAGAACCAAGTATCTCACAACCTGTCAAGGTTGGAAGGAGCTGAAAAGAAGATAGAGGTTGAGAATATAACAGAGACATTCCCGGATGAATAGTTACTAGCAATGACAATAGAGGAGGCACCATGACATGCTGATATTGCTAATTATTTAGCAAGTGGTATTGTACCTTATGAACTCTCCTCAATTCAAAAGAAAAAGTTCTTTCGTGATTGTCGGTATTATTATTGGAATGAACCTCTACTGTTTAAAATATATGTAGATAACATGATCCGGTGGTGTATCCCCGAGAAAGATCAATATTCTGTTTTGCAGGCTTGCTATGCTTCACCATATGGTGGACACTTTGGAGGAATTCGGATGGTAGCTAAGGTGTTGGAGTCGGTCTTGTACTAGCCTACTCTGTTCAAGGATGCCCATGCTTGGGTTAAAAACTGCGATGAATGCCAAAGGACTGGCAACATATCTCGTAGACACGAGATGCCAATGACCACAATTCAAGAGGTGGAGATTTTTTACATGTGGGGGATTGACTTCATGGGGCCATTTGTCAGCTTGTATGGTAACAAGTACATATTGGTAGTAGTTGACTACGTCTCCAAGTGGGTCGAAGCAGTGGCTCTCCCGAAATGATGCTAAAGGGGTAATAGGCTTTCTAAAGAAGAACATTTTCACACATTTTGGTACCCCAAGATCTATACTCAGTGATGGCGGAACCCATTTCTGCAATAGAGCATTCGCACGGCTGTTGGAAAAATATGGAGTTCGTCATAAAGTGACCACCCCGTACCACCCACAATCGAACGGGCAAGTTGAAGTGTCCAACAAGGAGATTAAAAGTGTCCTCACAAAAACAGTGAATGCAACAAGGACTGACTGGGCAAAGAAACTGGATGATGCATTGTGGGCGTACCACACAGACTTCAAAACCCCAATTGGTATGTCACCGTACAAGTTGGTATTTGGCAAGGCATTCCACCTCCCAGTTGAGCTAGAGCATAAAGCACTTTGGGCATTACAGTAGTTGAACTTAGACATGGAGACAACATGTACTAATAGAGTCACTGGATTACATGAGCTCGAGGATTTCAGGTTCCAGGCTTTTGAGAGTGCTAGATTATACAAAGAAAGGATGAAATTAATGCATGATAAGCACATATTTGATCGAAACTTCAAACCCGGAGATCTAGTGTTGTTATACAACTCAAGATTGAGATTGTTTTCGGGTAAGTTAAAGTCCCGATGGTCAGGACCCTTCAGAGTGGTAAAAATGTTCTTAAGTAGACCTGTCGAGATTGAATCAGAAGATGGGACAAATAAGTTCACAGTAAATGGGCAAAGGTTGAAACATTACCTTGGAATGACTGAAGAAAAAGGGGATAAAGTTGTAATCACTTTGGAAGAGCCCCAGTATGCGAATGAAGAGTGATGATCAAATACTTGTGTCGTGCCGCGACGTTAAATCAGGCGTTGCATGGGAGAAAACCCACGAGTGTTGTTGTTAGTGTGTTCATACAACTTCATAAAAAAAAACAACGCCAGCACCGTGACCGCGGTAAACTGCAGTGGAAGGCAAACATTCTGACTTAGATTTTATATCCCACCGCGACCGCGGTGAGGCGTGAACATTCTGCCTCGAATTTTTAAACCCACCACAGCTGCAGTGGACCGCGGTCGACCGCGGGGGTACCAGGTATTTTTAATTTTTTTTCTGTTTTTCTTATTCTTTTCCTCTTCTTTTAATTTAATAACCCCATATTATAACAAAACCCCCCTCCCCTAAATATCAAAACAACCTACACCCCCCTCATTCTAATTCTTCATCTCCCTCTCTTTACAACCCTAACCCCCATATCCCTTCTTCTTCTCCTTCTTATTTACTCATACTAACATCCTCCACCTCCATTGCTCTCACCCATTCTTCATCTAAGGTATGTACTTACCTCTTCTCTCTCTTTTCTCTGGTTTTGTTTTATATTGTGTTGTAGCTTATGTAGTTTTATGTTGATATGGTATTGTAATTATTGGTAGATTTTTGTAGTTTCTTCTTGTTTTTCTATTTAAATTTCATTTTTGACCATGATTGGTAAAGGGGCTATTTATTTAATGGGGTGGAATGGTGTTGTTGGTGGGTGATTGAATGAAGCAATGATTTAAGTGTGTGAGTGTAGTAGCATATTTGATTTGGGGAAGCTTTGCTAGAGTCACATGGGCTGTGTATATGAAGATATTTGTCTTGCCCACAAGGTGTTTGGGGAATTACCCCAATGGAGTTATAAGGAGCTAATGTGACATGGTTGTGGTGAAGTCTGAGTAACCACCCATAGTCACACACTTCACGCACTCACTAATAGGTGTTTCGTTGTATGACAGGTACAATGAGTTCTTCCAGGAAGAGACGAAACACTGGGCCCTCCGCTAGTGGACCGGGAGGCTCCTCACGAGCTAGGAGCCAAGCCCGTGCACCTTAGTTTGATAGCACTCGGTTTGTATCCAAATAAACGGAGGATAGGTACAACCAGAAAGCAACTAAGAAGTTGCAACATGAGGTGCACATTGATCAAACGGCTTTGGAGGTGGAATACCCCAATATTTTTAATGAGCTGAGGCAGTGTCAACTGGACATCTTCTTCGAGGTACCAGAGGAGGCTAATGTTCAGCTAGTAAGGGAGTTCTATGCGAACTTGCCAGAACATGAGAATGGGGTTGTGACGGTGCGCAAGACCCTGGTAAATGCATCCCTTGACACCATCCACAATGTATACATGCTGCCAGTGTTCATGGGAGAGGTTGATCCTTAACTTACTTTCAGCGGTACATGGGCCTTATGGGGAACTCTTCTTGATACTATCTGTGTGCCGGACGGAGAACACTTGTGGATCATGCCCAGAAATACACTTAACTCCCACTGTCCGAATTGGGAGGATAAGTGTTGGCTCACCATTGTCAACGGCCGATTGTTGCCATCCAGTAACACGATAGAGATGTCAATCTACCACGGGCGTCCGCAATCCACTGTTTCATGTCCCACAGTGATTTTGATGTGTCCTGACTCATCCATGAAGAGATGTTCATCAGATCACCTAAGCTAATCAAGGGCCAGTACTTCCCTTCGTTGATCACCCGGCAGTGCCGTATTGCTAGAGTCCCTGAAGACCCTCGGGTTGATGGGATATTGCCACTAAAAGCCCCGTTCCGGGCGAAAAAAATTGGAATTAGACGAGAGCCGGTGGTGAATATTTATGACTCTGATGATGATTCAGCTGATGATGATGATGCGGAGATAGATGAAGTTCCTCCTCCTCCGAGAGTTGATGTGGCAGGCCCATCACAGCCACACCGGAGCACCCGTATGACAACTTTGGAAAATGAGATGGCTGGGTTGCATACCTCAGTCACTGATTTAGGTGCCCGTGTTGATGCAGTGGCTGAGAGGCAGGTGAAGTCGGAGAAGAAATTCTTGGGCTGGTTGAGGGCTATGGGACGTGCTTGCAACGTGAAACCATACACCGTCTCCGATCAGGAGTGAGCTTCAGGGAAGTTCCTCAACCTCACTGTTCTTTAAATTTTTAAGCCATGAGGACATGTCTTCATTTTAAGTGTGGGGTGGGGGATACTTCATTGTATGTTTATAATTGTAACAATTGACTGTTTGATTTTGTTTGTTTTGTCTTGCTTTGATTGTTTTGATGTTAGAGTAATAGTTTATTAGGAAAGTTAAAATAGTAACTGACGTGTCCCGACGGCGGATCTCTTTCGGCGAGGTTCTTTAGGAACTAAGTCGGAAAAAAAAATTGTAATATGGAGACTCTTCCTGATGAAGGATCCTTTAAACAATTTTCTTGAGAGAAGTTAGTCTAGACAAAAGACCAAAAAAGATTTATTTTTTATTTTTTTTAGGTAGCGTAGTAACTCCTCCTTGGTTTTTCTTTGGGCCACGGTTCTTTTCCAAGGGTTTAGCTTGAAACGGGTATAGGTAGTTTTTATTTATTTTTGTTCTTTTTAGTTTTTAGATTAGGACTAATGGGCTACGAGCTAAATTTGAAAAAAAAACCCTTAGCGTTGATACACTTGAACACCATAGACACTAGAGTGTAACGCTTAGCTTCATTGGTTGAATCCTGTTAAAGTGCCTTAAAATTGTATGTTTGCATCTAACTTGAACACTCAAAAGAGAATGTTTTGATAAACCAATCCGGAGTGAGTCATGTGCCATGTGTGTGTGAGTTTTTACTATATTCCATGATTCACATTTGATGCCTCGAACTTGCCTTGTGTGTTTGCAAAGCGAAATTGTAATTTCATTCAGTTTTAGAAGTAATATAAGCATTTCTTTGTTGAGCCAAACATATAAAGTAAATCCACCTGAATGCAATACATCTTAGTTAACCCCGTTGAGCCTATAAGCCTGTTTCTTTGGCAACCACATTGCGAACCTTACCCAATTGTTTGAATAGCCTACTGTTTGAACCCTTTTACCTCCCAATAAGCACTTGAATTGTATTGAAAATATGCAAAAGAAAAAGTGTGGGGTGGTGGTTTGTTTTTTGAGTGGAACCATTGAGATAGAGAAAAGGTGTTGAATTTTGAAGCATAAAAGAAGAAGCACCACGAAAAAAAAGAAGTTATCAATAATTATAGTGGTTGATAAGTGGCAGCTTGTACAAATTGCACCTAATGGATTGGGATGTTTTAAATAAATGTGGTGGAGTATTTGGTTGGCACAATTGTGATCTTTAAGTTTAATGTAATTGTATTAAAAGTGCTTGGGGAGGTTAGTCACAATATCTAAATATATCCTACCCGTCCCTTAGCCTACATTATAGCCAAGTAAGTCCTATTGATCTTAGACTGAGTGGGCTCACTTAGTAGAGTATTACACTATGGGCAAGCCTATGGTGCATCTTTGTGGTATGTGAATGTTCTTTTTGAGAGTGAACGAATTTTGTCTATCTTAGTTCCTAATTGTTCTAATTATCATTATATGTGGAACTACTCTATTGTGTGATGTGAGAGCATGTGATTCATAAAGGAAAGTATGTCTTGACTCTTGTATAGAGTTGTTTGAGTAAGTGCGAATGTTGCATGGCATGAAAGGTTTGACTCTTGAGGTAAAGGTTGTTCACTACTAGGTGCAACTTTTGTAAAATGTTCATGGTATGAGTCGTCAAGGGAAAAGCTTATGGAAGGAATTTTAACATGGAGTGTGGTGGATTTCTTGAGGACTAGCAATGATTTAAATGTGGGGTGTTGATAGTAGGCTATATAGTTGATATTTACACCTTAATATGACCATGCTTTGTTGTTGTTTTATAGGTAAATTGCCAACAAAATGCTCTAAATAGTGTTCTTTTGTTTCGCAGGGAATATTATATGCGAGGAAGCAACATGGAGTGTTTTGGAGGCGATGATGTGAAGAAAACGCCCACTCGAGAAGTACCCGAGCACGAAAAAGCAGAATATGGCCTGGGCAAGAAGTCTACCGCGACCGCGGTGGAACCGCGGCAGATTAAAAAAAAGTGAGGTAGAAAGGCCAGCTCTCACCGCGGTAGACCGCGGTCTGCCGCGACCGCGGTGTACTATTCATGCTGGAGGAAGTTTGGGGACCAAAGTGTAATTTCGAGAAAACTTTT